AGTTTTGAAATGGACATATCTAGATCCAGTCATAGCTAAAACATTTTAGTATTTTGCTAGGGTTAAAGTTGAATATATTTTTTTAAAATTTTCTTCATAGATATATATTTATTTACCTTTTTTAATGTAAAAGTATCCATAATTCTTTCATTTAAGTCATAACTTTTCCCATACAAATTACATTTGTATCATTAGAACAGTCATAAATATTATAGATACTAATAATTGCTATAAATATTTATGCAAATGTGTAATGGGTAGATGATAATCATTATAATTGATAATGTATTATGGATACATGTGATCAATAAATATTACTAAATTTGTGCTCATTGTAATTAAAGGGAAATTGAAAATTATTAAACCAGTTTTAATCTATCAAAAACTGGTTATAGCTGAAGCATACCAGTTTTTTAAAAAAGATTAATTACTTCATATTTGAAGATTTCATGTTATTTGCAATATTGATGCTCATTATTTCATGGCTGTTATGTATTTTAATTTTTGTTTTTCATGTAATGATTTGTATTTATTTATTCTCCTTTCAGCTTTGTTTTCACATCAAAAGAATGAGCCACCTAAGAGTCATTTTCGGAATGTAAAGTATGCAGCTAATGATTTTTCAAAGGATAAAATCAAAAATCCAAAACGTTTGGTTTGTCATTTTTGTAACAAAGGATTTAAACAGAAGTGCAATTTGCAGCAGCATCTTCGTCTACATACTGGCGAGAAACCATTCAAATGTTATATTTGTTCTCGTTGCTTCACACGCAATGAATCTTTAAAATATCATGTTTTCAATTCTCATAGTAATCAAGTTTAGACTGTGTACTATGATAGCTGTGTCAAGTATAGTGTAGCAAATATGTCAGTATGTTGTTATAACATGTTTTATTCTGCCATTTTTACTTCCTTGTACAAAGTAAAGGATGTATCGTAATTGCAAAAAATTTTCAGGTATCATATTTTAATGAAAGTATCCATTTTGACATCTATTAAATACAATTTAGTGGTGTTTTTGTGACATCTGTACATAAGAACAGAAAAAAGGACTCTTTTTCTCAAAACGGATTGCAAAACGATTTAAAGTAAATTCAACAGAGATTTTTTTTGTGGCATCTGTACATACATAAATATCTCCTGTAACTCAAAAATGAGTAGCCTCAGAATGTTGAATTTTTGTATTAAATAGAACCTATAATTTGTAGTTGTACACTTTCCTTTTTGGTTACAATCGGCCATACAAAAAGTATAATTAATAAATATATGTACTCGCTCTGCTACTCAGCTCTGTGAGCTCAGTTTTTTTTTATATTGTTATGTGTTGGTAAGTTGTGTATTTTTCGCCTTCAAAATGGTTTAATTATATTGTTCTTATCTTCCAGTTATAGACTTTATCTCTTTAGTTATGTGACAAGATCGCATAGTTCTTCTTTGTCTGGTTCTCCGAATACAATGGTACCTCTTTCACACCAGAGGAGAAATCCTGTTGTGACCAGGTCCCTTTGTTAATTATTATAGTTGCAACCTTGAAGGTCACTTCAATGGTTCACAAGAGAAGAGAAGTGTTTCACCGACGTCGGAATATGGACATTTTTGTTACAAATTACGGGACTGAATGTATCCCACTTTGACATCAACCAAAATTGTTAAAGTTGTTTTTATTGAAATTCATGTTAGTGTTAGAAGTTTATTTCAACCCAGGATTACATCAAGAGCTCTAGGTAGCAGGACTCGTCTGCTACACCACAGCAGTAATATTGTAATTGGTGGCAGTATTTAGAGATTATTCCTGAAAATGAATTTAGGAACGAACATCTCGCCTTTGGACTTAGCTATTGTAGTATCTTGTTTTCCGTACATCTTGTTGTGTGAGTGCTTTGGATCGACGAAGGGAAGTTTCAATAAAGTTAGTGTTGTAAAGGACTTTATGTGAGTAATCAAAAGACATTTTCTCTTCTGCACAAGAATGGTCCAATTTTGCATGCACAGACAGTTCGCTTGGTAAGGCCTCTTCAGAAAAGTGATCATGTGTCAGAAGAAAACGCCGAAGGAAGTGTGATCTGGTGCCGCAGTGAAGTTTTCTCGCAAGTGATATCCATACCCAAGTTGGTACCAGTATTAAAGGAATCTTCAAATTGGTGAGTACCATTTTTTTTTTAAATTTTAGAGACGTTATGCCAGTTATTCGAGACTAGGTTGCTTTTGTGTATAGTTCTATTATTGGGGATTAAACCTTTTCTTGTCATTAAATCTGTGCTAATTGAATCTTTGCTAATTGTTTTTTCTATTGTTCTAGTAACAGTGTAAATTGTTTGAAATATTTTAACGGTATGCTTTAGAAGGTGCACCCAAAAAAAGTCACCCAGAAGAAATAATCTCACCAATTGGAGTATGGAAAGCAGCCAAATTCTCATTTAACTAGCAGGGTTTTAGTGAGCTCTTGTAAGGGAAACAAAATTTTTCTAGCTAGTATAGATTACAAAATGTTTCTAAATCTATTTATTATGGATAAAAATTTATAAACCAAAATTTTGTTATCCAAAAAGGTCCAACGCATAACTTTTTGTAATTTATGTTAAGTTGTTAGGATTCTAAAGTTATTTTTCCATAATTAACCAATCAATTTATTAAATAACTTTACCTTTTATCAAAGTTAACTGAAATGTTCAGTTCAAAGCAGTTATCTGGATTTGTTTGAAAGGAAAATATGTAATAAATTGTGTTGTAATAAAATATGATCTGTATGTTTTATCTAATGTCCAGTGAATTTCTTTTAGAAATTAGGTATTCCTGTGAATGTGAATGCTCAACTTCAGATAAATGTAGCCATTCCAAAATGCGATGAAGTTGAGTGAGTATCTAATGATGATTATTTGTGCATACACACTGAAACTTGTTTATATTTGAAATAGATATTTTTTTTTGGGGGGGGGGTCAAATTCTATTATAGTAGAGATTTTTCATTCTTTCTATAATTGATATAAATATGTTAAATGCATGCTGCATTTGGATTTAATTGTAAAGGACATACAGTTATATAGAGGTAGGTTGTTATGTAATTTTATTGTTAAATGTTATCAAGCAAAATTTCCTAATTTTATTTGGCAAAAGTGCAATTAAAAATAGGCTTAACAATATATAAACATACCCAATTAAATGTATTTTTAGAAGTGTTTAATTTAGCTTGTTTAATATAAATACTTTTTTTTTCCTTTCTCAGTTTTTCATATATATATTTTTGGGTTTTACAGGCAACTTCAGTTTCCTAAAGAAACTATATATTATCCTGTGTTTTGGTTCAGTGAGGTAAGTTCCTTGCAATGTTTTTATTTGTATTCTGAGTTACATATTTCAATATTTGAAGTGGAATGCTATTAGGTACTCTGATAACTGAAGACAATTCACCTGGCAATGTCTCCATTTTCCCCCTTAATGTTTGTTCAATTAGCATTTTATGAATTTTTTTAATTTAATTAATTTACTTATTTATTTTGGAAGGAATCAAGTGAGACTGGCATTTGCTGGCTGATAAAAAGAAAACATTGCATTTCTTCATAAACATAGCATTTTGCATACTAGTAGAGAATGAAAAAATTTGCATTTCACAAAGTTATATTTTGTAGATGATCGAATTTGTGAAATTCTCTGATGCTTTTCTGAGTGAAAGCATTTTGTTGTGTACATTGGAGAACAACAGTATGTGCTGTTCTCTATTTTTTGTTTTTAAAGCTAAAATGGATCACTGTGTACATGAGGCGAAGAGCAGGAAAGAAAAGTTATAGATGTTTCTTATGTTTTTAATTTTGTTTATTGTTTTTTTTTTTAATAGAATTCTGTATTCGCTGCCATTTTTTAAAATGGCTGTTTTTTTTTTTTTTTTTTTTTAAATGGTGGCAAAAAAAAAAATTAGTTGCTATTGATTGGTGAATTTTGAGGAAAGTTGGGTAGATAAGAAAGTACCTAATACTGTATATATGGTTCATTATTGTATATTTTTATTTTTTTAAATTGAGCTTTGATTCAGAGTGTCATATTTTCCCCACTATGATTATTTACTCTATAATTATTGAACAATTTACATATGGATAATTTAATGTCACATTATTGTAAATGTGTGTATTTATTCTCATTATGTATAAAAGCATTTGTATTGAAATAGGTAAAAATGCCTGTATGAGTTTTGTCAAATCAAAATGTCATATCACTAGGTAAAATTTATTTCAAACGAAGTATGCATATGGCATTTGAAAAAGAGATGATTTAACTGGTAACAATGAAATGAAATACAGAATTCAATTGACTATTTCTAATTTTGTTTATTGTTCATTATCTTTTACATAAATATATATGTACAGGGATATACTGAAGTGTTATAAAAAAGCTGGTATAAACAAGTATTGTGATGAAGATGATGAAAAGAAGATGTAGTAGTACTACTTATGTACTGTTGCGATGTAAAGTTAATGAACTAAAGTAAAGTTAATGATACACATCTTCGTTTTAAACACAAAACTATTATTAAACAATTGCACAATACAAGTATAAACAAGAAAATGACATATAAAACTTAAATACGAGAACAGAACAAAAATAGTGAAGAATAGACAGCATTCCAGCTGCCTTGCGTATGCGTTCGTCTGAGTCTGACAGTTCAACTGAATTAAATGTTCTTTGGCATAGTTCCAAAAGCGAAAGAGTCAGGTTGAGTTGTTCTGTTCCGGCGCACCGGAACATACTCCCACCCTATCAGGCATTAGTCCTGATATATGGGCAAAGGTGCTAATTTATGAATGTTTCTTTTGAAAAATAGAGTTTTTAGTTTTAACCGTGACCACACGAACCTAGTCCGTCAATACCATGATGAAGTTCGACCACTTGTCCTAGTGGCCAAGAACCTGGAAGATGACCATCATCTAGTAACAGGACGATGTCTCCAAGTTTTCATATTCGGCTGAGTGTCCTTCCATTTCTTTCTGGTTTGAAGAGAAGATAGATATGCTTTGGTCCATGATTTGCAGAAGTCCTTGCCGCATCTTTTGAAGGAGATCCCACCTATTCCGTATATTAGCAGGACTAGTAAGAGGTAGTTCAGGAGGGGATAGGATCACGTCTCCTGTAAGAAAATGTGAAGGAGTGAGAATATTAATGCAATCAATGTCAGTATTGTTTACACTACATAACGGACGAGAATTTAAAATGGCTTCTATCTGAGCCAATAGAGTTGTCAATTCTTCGAAAGTAAGTAGCGTTTCACCTATTACTCTTTTACAGTGATATTTGGTTGATTTAATTGCGGCCTCCCAAATTCCTCCGAAATGAGGAGATGCTGGAGGTATAAAGTGCCATTCTATTGATGCTTGAGTTAAATGATGAGCAACGGCTTCGTTCTTAGGAAGTGAAGGCCCACAATCGTTGTATTTCGCTGAGCTTTCGATTAGCCCCAACGAAGTTTGTTGCATTGTCGCTGTAAATGTGACTTGGAGCTCCTCGTCTAGCACTGAAGCGACGCAAAGCAGCTAAAAATGCATCAGCGGTTAAATCGCTCACTGCCTCGATGTGTAGTGCCTTAGTAGCGAGACAAATAAATAGAGCAATGTAACCCTTGGTTGATTTTGCTCCACGACCCTTGTTGAATTTGATTGAAATAGGACCGGCATAGTCCACTCCGCAGTTGAAGAAAGGCCTCTCGAGTGTTACACGATGCTTAGGTAGATTACCCATAAGCCGAGATGCGGTGGATGCTTTAAATTTGAAGCATTTAATGCATTTGTGAACACATTTATGAATGGGTATGAATATGATTATGAATATGGGTATGAATATGATTTATGAATGGGTATGAAATTTATGAATGGGTGTATTAAATCAAAGTATTGCTTCTGTAATGCTTGCTGTCTTAATAATACCTCATTCAAATGCAGCTTGCGAAAGAATTTTTTCTGTTGTAAAAAAAAAATCAGACGGAATTTCGACCAAATTTAGGTCTTAAAACTCTTGAAGCAGTTTTGATTGAAAAAATAAATATGCAGGCAAATGAAGAACTGTGTTATAAAAAAACATTCTCAAAATCAGAACTTAAGCTTGCTAAGCATGCTACATATAAATCTTTGCATTCATAAATTATGCGTATTTGTTGTAATACTTATATGTATCATTCTTGGTTATTTAAATTTTATTTCCCTGTAGAAATCATATCCAGAATAAAGATATGATTTATAGCTTCTGATTTTTTCCATGATTAGTAGTGATTTGAAGTACTTTTTATTAGTGAATGCTTGAGGAGTTAAAAGAAATTTCTAATTAAATGTGCATATAATTTACAAGGTATATTTTTAATTATTCAGTTTTATATGTATATGGATTTTAAATGTAATAAAATTGATTACAATTAATTATTAATTTAAAATTAATGAATGGTTAATTACAACATACGCTATGCGCACATTTTCAAAGTTGTAAAAATGTCGTTCGCGCGTTCACTACTGACAAGGTTTGCTGAAGGTTGGAGTCTATGGAGACACAGCACTATTTTGTGAATAATCTAGTGCAATTTGCTTAATGCACCTAGTGGCTAGGAAAGAAGCTGGAGCTAAACCATATGTTACGGTGTTTAACTTGTATGTGTGTATTTCTTCGTTAGGATTAAACCTCCAAAGAATTTGTTGGTAGTTCCGATCCTCATCGGACACTAAAACTTGACGGTACATTTTCTCTATGTCTGTTGAAAAGACTATTTCCGGAAATCGAAAATTAAGTAAAATTTCGAAAATGTCTCGTTGAAATTTAGGACCAACACCCAAGATTAGAATTCAATGATTTACCGTTGGAAGTTTTACATGAAGCGTCGAAAACGACTCTTAATTTGGTAGTTGTACTAGACGGCTTGATCACTGCATGATGGGGAAGGAAATATTGCTCATTCTGAAATCTATTTAAACAGTTTTGTGTGACCAATTCCATATGACCTAAATTTTCATATTCATGCATAAAATCCTTGTATTGGTTTTCAAATTCCGAGTTTTCCTTAAATTTTTTACGTTCCATAGCATATAATCGAGAAAGTGCAGCTGGTTTTGAATTACCTAATTCAGATTTAGATTTTAAAAATGGCAACTTCACCACAAAACGACCATCTGAATTAATTGAGTAATTTTCCCGAAAATGTGTTTCAACAAATTGTTCTTCAGGTGAGAATACAGTGTCAGTTGAATTTGGTACTTCTTCTAACTCCCAAAACCTTTTCAATTCGCTGTCAATATTTATTTCATAAATATGCATGTTTGAAAGTGAATTTGATTTCGTTTGAGATTCCTGGTAGTTTTCCGGATATGAGGAAACCAAAAATTGAGTTTTGAGCAATTAAATCACTTTGAGAACAAGTTATTTGTCCAGGAAGTAAAATAGAAAACAAGTAGTCAGATCCTAGAATAATATCTATCTTATCCGGAATGTGAAAATATGGATCAGCTAACTTTACATTTTTCAAATGCGAAAAGTCTTTCTCATTTATTTTTTGGCTTGGAAGCGCAGCAGTTAGTTTATCTAATACAAATGCCTTAATTGGCATTCTCACTGATGCATTATGGATTGACATCAACTCGATTTCAACGCAACCTTTTGTAACTGCGACTTCTGACTCAGCTAAACTCTTGACAGGAAAAGGCGCATTTTCCCTTTTAAATCCCAATAAATTAATACAAGATTCAGATAATAATGTTGATTCGGAACCACTATCACAAAGCATTCTAATATTACGTTTTTGACCCATCGAATCAATTACATTTACATACTCAGTTGGCAATAAGCCAAAAGTTGTTTGAACGCTATTATTTTGAATTACAGTTCCGTTTTTGTTTTCATTCGTAGACGCAATGTTTGGTATTTCATTCGCGGTTGGATTCTTTCTTTGCTGTTCTGACTGAAAACTGCTCTCAGAAAGAGATGCAGATGTGGAATAACCTTTTAACTGATTTTCACACAGAGTACTATGATGCAATAACTGGCAATAATGACAACGATGTTGAGACATACATTCAGATTTTTTGTGCTGACTAGAAAAACAATTTAAACAAAGATTATTTTTCCTGACAAATTGATTTCTTTCTTTGACAGTTAGTGCTTTAAATTTGGGGCATTTGAAAAGAAAATGATCTGATTTACACATAATACATTTGATACTTTTGTTCACAGAAAATATTTTAACACTAGGTTGAGTTTTTTCCCTTTCTTTTTTCGTGGAAAATTTCTAAAGAGGAACATCTATCATTTATAAATTGAATAAACATATTTCAAAAGTAGGAAATTCCACTTTTGCTGAAAACTCAGACCATTGTTTACATGTTTCGTTGTCAACCTTCTGTAATAAAATATAAATTAGCCAGACATCCCTTTCATTAGCTTTTGGATCAATAGATTTTAAACCTCTGATAATTTCATCAGATGTATCGGCAATTTTTCGCAAATTAATTGCATTTGCATTAATTACACAAGACTGATCCATGAAAGTTTTTATTAGTGATGTGACAATTTGTTTTTTCTTATCATACCTAGATAATAATTTTCCCCAGGCTTCCATATAACTATTTTCTGAAATGGGAATATGTTTAATAATAGAAGCCGGTTCATCAGTTAATAAACCCTTTAGATATTGAAATTTTTAATGTTGCTTAAATTTTCATTGTTATGCACTAATGATACATATAAGTCCTTGAAAGACATCCAGTTTCTGTAATTACCGTTAAAAGACTTGCATATTTATTCTCGGTAATTTAAAATTATTAGCAGTATTTGTAGTACTATAAACCTGGCATTTGACGTTCATTAACATTAAGTAACTTGCATATTAACATTAACCTTTAATTTCTCAAGTTCTTGTTGTAGTTTGGCTTTGGTTTCATAGTATTTTTTCTCAAATTCTTCCATTTCAGAACTTTCCGGCGGAAGTTCTGCGTCTGCCTTGTCAAAATCAGAATAAATGCTTTCAATTTTTTGAAGTTTATTCATTAAATCATGTTTTTCGAATAACTGCTTACCATCATTAATGAAATTTGAAATTCTGGTAAGAGCAGCTTTCGCTCTACCTTTTGCAATCTTAACCTTGTCTTCCATTACGACGTAACGGTGCAATGAGGAAAACCCAAGTCAAACTTGTAAAAAAAAAAAAAAAAAAAAAAAAAAAAAAAAAAAAAAAAACTTAGCTTGCTTGGTCTTTAAATGAAGTTCGATGCTAAACGTATCCAGTAGTATCCATTACTGTACCGAATGCAGCGTTGCAGTGCTGACGAAACCGAAATCAAAAATCCTTTAATCTCGCCGGTGCCTCCAAGATATTATGTTGCGATGTAAAGTTAATGAACTCGATACACATCTTCGTTTTAAACACAAAACTATTATTAAACAATTGCACAATACAAGTATAAACAAGAAAATGACATATAAAACTTAAAATATGAGAACAGAACAAAAATAGTGAAGAATAGACAGCATTCCAGCTGCCTTGCGTATGCGTTCGTCTGCGTCTGACAGTTCAACTGAATTAAGAATGTTCTTTGGCATAGTTCCAAAAGCGAAAGAGTCAGGTTGAGTTGTTCTGTTCCGGTGCACCGGAACATGTACATCATTGGCTGTGTCAACCAGTTCATAATGCATTATGCTTCTAGTCATCTTCTGCATGTGTTCATTTATTATGCATACAGAAGCTATTTTCATCATGAGAATGACAAACTATAATTTAAGTGATTTTCTGTGCAGTTCATTAGTTGAAATTCATGAGATATAACTAAAACTCATAAAGTGAAACTCACAGGAGCATTTCAAGGATAATGGCAAAGTTTGGATTTTCTTTTATGGTTATTTCAAATGTGTATGAGAATTCGAGAAAATCTCAAACTTATGAGAGCAATGTGGCTATAAAAGGATTTGGATAAACATGACAGGTGCTAGATGAGAGAATCTATTCATGCAATGGGCATGCAACAGTATTATTTCAATAGTGTTTAATGCAATAAGCATGCAACACTGTTACCTCAATAGCGTTTCATGCAATGAGCATGCAACAGTTTGATGCAATAAGCATGCAGCAGTGTTTCTTCAATAGTGTTTCGTGCAATAGGAATGCAACAGTGTGTGCAATAAATATCAGCTTGAGGGCTATGAATATTCCTTCTGCGATTCGCCCTGTGCAACTGATGCCAAACCTAAGTATCTCTAAGGCCCATATCACACAGCATTTGTTTCACACGAACAACTGTTTCGGACAATTTTTCTGCCTGGTTTACTATTGAAAGAAAGACGCACGACTTTTTCCTTCCTTTCCAAAAAAATTGCAGGTTGTTCGTTTTCGACCAATCAGCTATCAGCTTGTTTGTAATGGGGAACCAGTTTCCCCTGCGTTAACTCCAAAGCGATCTGTGTTGATTGGCTGTTGTGACAAAGCAGAAAAATTATTCCAAACAGTTGT